TGCCGCATCAGAAAGGAGAGAAATTGTATGCTCGTGGGTTTTCAGATGAGTCGCGCGAGAAAAAGAAAAGAACTGGCCCTCAGTGAAAGATTTATACATCTCGTAGTTTCGAACTTTGATTTCTTTTAAGTCCCCAAGGACATATTTTAATCACTGAATTCCGAACATAACTAAAGGCAATAAAAACATCGATAACTCGATAGTTTTTTTTAGAAAGGTATACGTTTGCGGTTGGCCCTTCATTTAGTCAGTTTAATAATATATAGTTAGATAATATAATAATAATAATAATAATAAGTAATTGAAACATAACGTGAAACATGCTCCGTGTGATCTAAGTAAGACTTTCGTTCGTAATCGCAGTCATGCGTCGAAAAACTTGTTATCGAGTAATACTTTTTTCCTTATTGAAATCATTACATTATGTTCAAAGTGTTTTTAGTTGCGTGATTTTAACTGTGACTAGTACGATTATTGGAGTTGTCTCGTACATTAAATACGCTAAATATTTAAAAATTAATATAATAAAAATAGTGCCATAAACATTGGGGCACCAAAAGCTTTTTTATAATCTAAATAATATTACTGAAAGTTAACCATATTATTTAATTCAAAATATTTAACACATATTTAACCTAACCAAACCATGGTCTCGAAGCGTAGTCGACATCATTAACATTATGTTGAACGGCGGTGTTGCTAGTTTACTTTTGCCACGAAATCGGCGAGATGACAAATTAACAATAATATACCATTTATATTCTATTATTATTGTTAGTTGATATAATTAATTTAATAACATTAATAACATAAACGAACATCGACTTGATTGAGTTGTACGATTTTATTTTAAACTCGTTTACAATAGTATTCACATCCATGTAGACCAGGGTGGCGTCGAAAAATCAGTTTGAGTTACATTACGTGTGTTGTTCTTTAATCGTCGATTATTTATTTTATTCATTTAATAAATACAAAATAAATAGTTATATAAAACCTCCTATTCTTAATTAGTCGTATTGTAGCTCAAACTTAGCTTTAATTATAGGTTGAAAAATATTTTGTCGAGGAGTGATGAGGGCGTTGAAAATGGTTTTCGGCACCGGGCGCTAATTATCCTTGGCTCGGTACTGTATGTATCGTAAAACTCGCAGGACACTTAAATTTCGACAAGTTATCGAGTAAATACACAGGTAACGTACCGATTAAAAATGTCAATCGGTTTCTCCGCTGTAATAGCGGTAATAAGAGGTTTTCCTCGGACGGTAAACGGGTTATCGAAATCGTTGTTTGAACAAGAAACAAACGCCTATTAAACGCTAACGCGACCGAAGTCGATTGTTTTCGTTCGTTTCGTCACGTACAATAGTAACGTTTTCTTGCGACGATTCGCGTGACGACGTCCAGGACGTATTACAAATATTATCCTGTATTGGTCGGCGACCGCGCCGGAGGCGCTTTACCGATGGCCGCGGATTACGTGCTGCGACCGCGGTCGACGTGGAAACGTTATAAACACACGTCTGCGTTCGTCCGGTATTTCGTCCGTATCGCGCGGTCCGTTTCCGCCGCCGCGAGCGCGCGCGTGGCGGGGAGCGCGGATACGACCGCCGCCCGGGCCGTCCGTCACACAGTCATAACGGTGTCTGGCCGGATCCGACCCGGTAACGGAACACGTACACATACGCGCGCGCGCGCCGCGACCCGTCGTTGTTCGCGTCTTCCGAAATAACGTTTCGCTCGCCTTAACGACGTTCGCACCGCACCGAAAACCCGTCAAAAACGGACGGGAAACATCCGTCCAAACCGTCGTCGTTTATTTTTTCGCGCAAACGTAACGATAATGCGATTGAGCATCGAACGAATCGGTCAGAAATCCGATTACTTATCGGTCGTCCGACGGCTGCGAGACGCGAACGGGACGCCGACAAATCTTAAAGGTACCTATGCGGATTTATTCTATTTCTTTTTTATTCCCCCCCCCCCCCCCCCCTCCTCCCCGTCGTCGTCGTCGTAAAAACGCGCTTGTGCGTCCGATTCGCTGCGATAGCGATGACTGCCAGTCCGTTTGTTTTCAAAATACATAATGCATAATACGGGTTCCATGTGTATCTATTAGACCCAAAATGCGTACGGCGTGAAAACGTGGTTATCGTATGGTTACACGTAAATTATGTACTAGAACGTGACATATATTATCATGTACAATATGTAGTGTAAATTATAACGCGCGAATGATTTAAAAACAATACGTTAAATGTGTGTTACGTTAATTATGTTCTTTTTAAAATGCAATTAATTATATATATATATATGTACGTGTGATCTCGCTACGGTGAGATAAATCACATTTTCTCTCGTTCTATGACGTGGTACAATTTAAAACGTGCTATTTTTTTTAAGAATTCTGTCTTTAAAAATCTGAGTGTTCAGTAATTTCTTTTTTAGTTTTGTGTTTTCTTTCCTTTTCGTCACAAATATTTTATATCACTGCACTTTGATGTACAAATCTTTATTAATACGTCATTTAATTCGAACTGAAATATAATGGCTAATAATTTTGAATTGTAATTCCGATATAATTATTATAATAGTTACTATAGATGAGTAAAAAAGTTTGAAAATTAATCAATAAACACCAACCATCGTGTTTAAAAAATGTACTTTAATTATAATTTATTAAGGATTTGAATTTTGTTTGTATAAAATGTGTCGCTCAAAGGTTTTTTGAGTTTTGTTTAATAAAATTTAAAATTTTACATACCAAAATTTGGTTATAATTCTTCATATTTTATTTAAATTTAAGAATCTCAATAAACTAGCTATAATTACAAATAACAGTTTAATTTTAGTTACAATCAAATCTTGATTTCTCGACGAAATGTTTTAATTATTTTTCACAATTAAGTTTCGAATACAACTTGAAACAGTTTTAAGGTAATGTTACAATATGAAATTTGTTTTTTTTTTTATTTCGGAAAGTCTCGATGGCACTGATTTTTTTTTTTTACGAATATTTATAATTTGAATTATATATGGTTATCTGAGTTCCGTTAAAATCGTTTTTCGAATAAAATGATTCATCATTGCTTTCTAATTATATAATTTTAACATAAAATACGAGTACGATTGATCAACACCCTGTCACTGTGTTGTGAACTAAGATCCTCCGTTCTTAACTCCATTTAAAAGAAAAATATAGCTGACAATATTGTGTTCGTTAATTTTAGTAACATACCAGTTTTTTAATTTTATTTATTTTTTGCTCAAGTTCAATTATTCGCAATCTTATGCCCTGATATTTTTAACGGCCATACTACAGTTAAATTAGTTATACTCGTGGCGACGGGGAACAAATGCTTGAATACGATACTAACGAGTGTGTATTTTGAATTTTTAAACATTCATATTTATTTATTATTAGCTTCAATTACCATTTAGTATTTACTTTTTTATTTTCTATTGAGATAAATGTATTTATTATAAGATCATCTTGTTCTGAATAACTGAATAAATACTATACACAGTTGTCAAATATTGTCAACCGTAAAATTTTACATCGCTATTGAAAATATAATACGTACTGATAGTTGATACGAATCATTATGATGTGTTACTTTTAGAACACTTTAATTTCATAAAACTCGAAAATGTTTGTCCTTCGGTGGATAATATAACTAACCCGTTATGCAGTTTTTAAATCAATTTTACAATTTCTTAATAATAAGTATAGGTGTATATATTTACGGACTGCGAACTTAATTGTTAGCGATTTCACCAGCAATAATCGTTATCGTTATACCGAAAGTGAGTAGTCATTTAAGTACAAGTGCACTGAGTAAAACATAAAATTATATTAGTATACCGGGTTGGATCATTTTAAACAAGATGTGGAGAATGTATTTTATTAAAATCTATCTCGAAATATATTCATAAGTGCATACTCATAACCTAGTAGTATATAAAAATTACGTTTCGTAAGTTTAAATGAGTTTGAAACTATATTCACATATTTAATTTTATTTTATTCTTATTTTTTTATCTACGCCAAATAAAGATAATTTTATAAACCGTATTAATGCGTCGGTACATAATGTATGGCCATAATAATGGACATCGGTATCACTCATGCATCCATATAGTAAACGTATCAACAATCATTGCATTATTGGAGTGTTGTAGATACCAATAAAATTCGTGTTTATAACTTATTCTTCTTCGTTAACCACATTTTTTATCACGGCTATTATTTTTACATTAAAAACGTAACTAGATAACTATTTGAATAGCACGGTGTACGGTGTTGAAAACTCAAAAAGAAGTAAGCCTAATTAAGAAATAAATACGCAGACCATATGTAGATGAAAATGTAGGTGAAAAAACCTTTTGAATATAACTCCAGTTGAAACGTATTTTGAATGCTAAACTTGTTTTCTTTCCTGTGCGGCCAAGAATTGTTATCGATTCACTTAATTACCATTAATTAGTTGGGTCCGAAGTTTTTTTTATCAAATTATATTTAGTTTTCATAATTTAATTAATTAAGTTTCATTGCATACTGAAGATATTGTAAAATTTGCTTGTTAATACTCAAAGAAACAAAAAAATCGTAAAAATCTTCTCGTCCAAAAACGAATGAAAAACGTGTACAGATAAAGCATGCGGCAGTCGATTGAGCGCGCGAGCGTTCTACTCTCTACACATAGCAGCTCATCATGAAAACACGTAATTTGTTATGATTGTTACGTTTGCAATCGAAATGATCCGCGAATCGAAAAATTGTAATATAACATATAAATGTAAATAAAATAAATAGTTCACACGTGTACATGAAAATATTGCGACATTTCGGTTTCATTTTCTATGTTTTTTACCTGTACACTGCCTCGAAAGTCGCGAAAATGCGCGTCGACCGGATTCCACTACAGCGATATTTATCATTCTCATTTAGTTATTTGAAATTCTTCTTCCTATCTATCATGTTCGTTTTTTTTTCTTAGATGATCAGTACCGTGTGATGCCCAGCGTCAGTCCGTAGTCTACAGCTTCAGCTGCGATGGGTAACTCGAACAGTCACGGCAGCTCGTACGCGACCAGCGACACACAAGTGATACCACCGCACTCATGGGCTTACTCGTTCCCGCGGTCGCAGTACTTCAGACCACCTGCCACGGGCTCAAAGGTGCTGCCGCCGCACGTGCCCAGCCAACGGCTCAGACCCACCGAGAACGGTTCCATGTTGCACAATGTCGGCACTATAAACGGCAAACGGCCATACGAGTACATACACCGTGACGACGTGAGTGCATATCATAATATTATAATTTATACCTGCAGGATCAGAAACAATTTTTTTCTCTAGTTGTGTTTGAGAGAGAGCCATTTTTTAAAAAAGTTGTACAATCATGAAAATAACAATTTTTTTTTTTTTTTTAATCGTCTCTCAACCAGTTAAAAAAAACTTGTTTCATTACTGTTATAAAATATATATTTGAACCAATAACGCAGTGGGTCTTCTGTATTTTTAAATTATATTTTTCATCATTTATTTCAACAGAAACCTCACCTGTAAAAGTCAGGAACCTCTCGATTTCGTCTCAAACGGTATTATTTTATATCTACTTTTGTTTGCCAGTATTATAACATCGGTACCCGAAATCATCGAGATATTCAGGATCTAAATGAAAATCGCACTATCCTTCGTATCTACATTATTAAACTTCTATCATGAATACTCGATATATTGATTTTCTTTTTCAATAATAACATTTCTTAACCGTTTTGAAAAAATGATTGAATTAATTTTTGTAGCTCATATAATTGTCCAAATGAAAAAATATCAATGAATACATTAATATAATAATTTCTTAACTAATTTTGACCGTGACTCCGTTAACTGGAAAAAAATGCATAAAATAATAACATACTAATCCTTGAAGTATGTTAAAAAAATGTGGAATGTTAAAAAGAAAACCATGGAATAACACTGATAAATACGAGTATATGAATATGATGATACTTTTCACAATGCACCTAAGCACGGATGTACTACGTTTGCCTATCTAAAACTCCTTGTTACAAATATTTATATAATATATAAATATGTATATTATACCCATAAAATAAAAAATTTTACTATTACACAATAAATCAATTATAATGATCATTTATATTTCATAATTTTTATTTTACTATAATATTAAAATCAAATTTAAATATCAATAATATTTTTTTTACGTATTATTATAATTATTTATTTTAGTATCATTATGTAAAAAATTAAATATTCATGTTATTCATGTATGTCATAATAATTTTTACGGATTTTGCACTAAATAATTGTGTTATATTAATCTTATAACCTATATTCATTTTTATTGTATAAACAATACGTTTCTGGTTTTTTTCATGTAGTTAACATAGAAAAACATAATGGTCAACCCATGCGTTATGTATATAAAACAACAAATATGTAAACATACAATATTGTATATTAATACTAAAATTTCCATGTTTATAATTACGTGAATTGTTGCTTTTAAAACAACGGTATAAAACTATTAATATTTTAATTCAAGGATATTATAATTAAATCATAATATTTGAAAAATAACATCAAGCCCGTGCTATTATCCATATTATGACTGTAATATTTTTTTTTGCTTTGATATAAAATGAAAAACTCGACAATCTTAATCGCGTTTGACATGCACAAATATAATGATTGTCGTCTTTTAGCTACCTCATGGATATGAAATGCAAAGACACGCACCACGGGATGGTAGACGAGATCGTATGGGATACAACATGTACACCAGTGAACCAGATTTACGGTTCACAGACTCTCGTCAACCACCACCAATGGGTTACCAACATCATAACAACCATGGGGATAATGGAGCTGTCAAAGGTAGAATGTCCCGGTCAAAAAAGAAGTATAGAGCACCTCAAATACCTCCTGCTTCGTCACATCACAATGGAGTGAGTAGACCAAAATTGATATTGATATTTATTTTTATTTTTAACAGTATTTTCAAAGAGGGTATGTGAAAAGTAATACGTTATAGTTGTCGTTTTAAACATAAATAACATAATTATAAATTCTGAAAATTTACTAAATTCTACGAGTGAACCAGATCGTGTTCGAAAAAATTGATTAATTAGTGGTAATTTTTGTTTTAAACATTACTACCCACACACTATTGTTATTTGTTATTATTATTATTATTATTATTATTATTATTATTATTATTATTATTACTTGATATAAAGTTAAAACTATTATATTTATTCTAATATTAATAAACCAACACTGATTTTTAATTTTTAATTCTTGGAAATATAAAATTAATTTTTTTCTTATAATTTAGCAATAAAAATCCATTATCTTATTTTTATACGATAATTTTTATAAGATATTTTTTTATCTTATCTTTATATTTTAAAAAATATTTCAATACTTTCATAGACTTATATAATGATATTTTGTTTTGTCCGAAATGCATCCAAAACGTCAATATACACTGCTGAAGACATTGATTAATCAAAAACGAAAGTATGTTAACATATAATTTTCGTTTTCTTTTCTTGTGCACAGATGGAAAGTTCTTCGCCAGACTCGTATCAACACTGGGAGAACCACAGAGATAACAGTAGGTCTAGTCAAAATAAGGGTGGTATGCCGAGGTTAAGATTATTTAAGACTAGAGCAGAGACAAAACGTAAGCTTAGTAAAGATGAAATAAAGAATGAAGAAATTCAGTCTAATGTCCAACCCCAAGCCAGCAATTTACACCGAAGCATGTCTTCCCCACAATTTCAAGTGAGTACAAAACTATCACGTGTTTTGTTTTGTAATATTAAATTGCTACTTATTCAATGGTCGTATCTTCGATTTAAAGCAAACGACTATGTTGTACTTTGATTATAAATAAAAATTATCTTTAATATTGCCATATTTTATATAACTGTGTCCTGTTTAGATTTCTTTTTATCCAATAACTGCAGTCTCGAAAAAGATAAAAAAAAATAATCGTATTTATTTTTTATCGGAATTAAAATATGCCGTTAAAATTTCAATGAACTAATCTGAATTGTTTTGTATAAAAAAAAAATAGATATACTTAACATTGTATTTCATTTCTACCAGAGTTTCTAATATATGGAATAAAAATAAAAAGTAAATATATACATTGAAATATTGTAGTCATCAAGAACTTTAATCGTACCTGTATAGGAACAACAGTGGCGGAGACATATTACCGCGACCGTTGTTCCCATATAATAAGAGAAAACATATTCTGAATCGCACCATTTGGTTTTTGCGCGACGAAACAGCTCGGGTAGAATAGGAAATCCGCCTGCTCGTGTGACGTGACAAATTACTCGAACCCACTCAAACGCGGAATAATCGTTGGTTCAATAACACGAAGAGATTTTCCATTTTACCAAAATTATAGATATATTTTTCAGTGTACATATTGCTCAACAGTCGTATATTGTACGCTCGGCGATACATTTTACGCGTGATGAAATATTTTTCAAATTTCCTAACCTTATCAATTGATAGTGACTAGTGCGACTAGTTAACGACTAGTGTTAAAATGTTATCCCAGCATTATAGACTGCAATTGAAATAATATTTATATTTATCATTCAATACATAATTTTTTAAGTTATTTCAGTGCTGCGTCATTTCTTTCAAGTTTAATCATATTTTCGTCCGTTATGACCATCGAGAATTGTAAACGTGAATTGTGAAGATCATGGCCGAACAAATAACTTTGTTAAAATTGTTTAACACTTATAATAATTATAACTCATAAATCAATTCTTTAATTTTACGTTAATGACATATACTAAACCATACCGATAATATTACAGTAAATCGTTAAGACATTTATAATTTTATAATTTATTTTTTATTTTTATTTTTTTTTGCTAAAATTATATCTGAGACTAAATACTTCATTCAAAAAAATAAACATTTGAAAACGGTTTTTAAACACCTTTTTATGGTAAATATATAAATATATATATATTTAAAAAAGTAAAAAATGTTTACAAATATTTAAATTAAAACTACCCATAATATTATCACGCTAGATTCTGTTTTGATTAATGGCACTCGAATTATATTTTCCTATTGTATCAGTTATAAAAGCCGTTGCGGAAACCAATAAAGAAAAAAAAACAATTATCGTTCAGAGAATATTTACGCTGATAAATAATTTAAATTTGACAGTAACTTCTAAATATATATTTTTTTTAGTTGGTTACTTTATATAAGGTGATTTTAATAAAACTATATAAATTGTACTGTATATAATAATGTTTATACATTTACTGAAAATCAATTGTGATAGGTAAAAAATGTTTTATATTATTTGCGTAATATATTATACCGTATTATATTTTATTCGATGACGATTTCTAATTGTTAATTCTCAATGAATACCTAAAAAAAAAAAAATTAATAGTTTTTAAACCGCCTTAAAATGCCTATCGTTTTCATAGGCCGAATTGAAACGTGTTACGGAAAGGCTGAGAGAAAAGGAATTCCGTCATCCGCCCATAGGCCGTGCTTCGGAAAGCTCGTCCAATCCAGCGTCCGAAGAACGTGCGGTGATCATCGCTAACAACGACAAGCACCGAGAGAGTCCTGTGAACTCGAACAGAGAACGGTTGATGGCTGACCGGGCAAAAAGGATGTCTAGATCGATACCGAACCTTGCGACAAAAGTACAAGAAGACGATGATGTACGTTGTACGGGCGAAGGTTCATCGGCCACGGGTTCCAACGATGAGAACGCGAAGAACAAAAGAGACAACAAGCCGAAAACAAGGTAGGTACTCTACTGGAGTGTGGTTACAATGTTATTTAGATTTTATTCTTTATTTAATATGTTATACACCGTTGTTATAGTGCACCAGATACTAAACCGAAAACATTCTATTTCGGTATGAACGAATTCAACGACGAGAAAAAACTAAACAGGAACACTGGAGACGTAGACCGATTTGCCGAAAGTTTTAATAAAACAAACGACTCACCATCAGATAGTATTGTTAGTAGTGATCCGACGGACGAGGTATAATATAATATTTTATGTTCGAAAAGTAGATTTACATTAGCATATAATGTGATACGTGCGTAATTAAATTGAGAATGTTAATTAGAGCAGAAACTGTTGTACCATCGTGTGAAATTTGTTTTTTAATTTGTTGACGATTTAGCTATTGGTCTCTCACATAATATATATTCAAAAAGAGTAAATAGTCTTAAAGTTTTTTCTTTTTATAAATTTAGATTAAATTGAAAATTTTTTAACAAATATAATATATTAATCAGTAATAAATTAAATAATTGTGATTTATTTTCGGAAAATATTTTAATAACATTTATCTTTATTGTATAAAAAACATTGAAAAAAGTTCTTTTGTATTTGTTTAAAATTTAATTTATTATTTTAAATATTTCATGCTGAAAACTAGAATACATTTAATTTTTTAATAATGTATCTATATTTAATTGATTTGATGTATATATATATATATATATTTTTTTTTTTACAGAGTGGTGGAGACATATCTCTTCAGCTAAGACCTACATTACCTAGGAAACAATTTGATATCCCTAGGTTTAGTCCTACAGCTGCCTGGCGTTTACTAACTGCTTTAGAAAGTCCAACTCCAGTTAGTCCAAATTGTAGTGGCGGAGAGGAAGATTTGATACCAATTATAGATCAGCCCCACAATTCTGGAGATAAATCTGGAGATAGTGGTATTTCTGGAGATGCTAGTCCACATTCAGCCCACAATTCACAAGTATTACATAAATATAATTGTAACGCATTATTATATACACAAATATTATAAAAATAACTTTCAGGTGGCTTGGACTCCTCAGCAAGACTTAGAAGAAACAAGTTCAGATGGAGGGTTGGATTCAACACCAGTATCACCTCAAAGTTTGGATACTACACAATTTTCTAGGACCCGTACAGTGGCTAGGCCAAGTTTTTGTCTATCCTTACCAAGAGATGAAAATACAGGACTTGACAAAAGATATGGGCAGTTGGTAAATATTTTTTATGTCAAAAATATTATCTTTTTTTTTATATATACCTATGAAATATAAAAATATATTGTGTTATGTACAGAATGAAGATTTTTCACCAATGAACCCGCCTAAATCCAATGGCTATTTCAAATCTAAATTAAACAGAGGAAAAACCTCAATTGATAAAAATAAATCACACTTGGATGAAAACTGGGTGTTGAGTAGAAGTGTACCAGATTCATTACATCACTCAGGTCTAGTTGGTAATTTTCCATCGCAAAATTGGACCCAATTTAATCATCAAAACAACGAAGAACTGGCTGATGAAGAATTAGCTATGTCTTCACTGCCCAAGTTTTCATATTTGGCAGCAGGTAGACGAGCTATGTATTTGCCAGAATACAAATCTTTGAACTATTTATATGAGAAGTATATAGAAATATTTTAATATGGTTTTTAGTCCTTTTTTTTAAACATTTTTATAATGCATAGGGATGTGATGAATGTACTTGAGAATAAAGCCATTGTATCAAAATCATGTGAAGATCTTACAAGAGATGATCAAGAGGACAACCAGTTATCAATCACGAATGAAAAGTCTAAACAAAAATCCACTAGTAAAAAGTTTGCATTTCAGAGTACCATACGACAAATTGAACGAAAAAAAATAGCTGAAAAATTATCAAAAGAAGCAGAGTACAAAGGTATAAAATTCTATTTTTTTATTATATACGACGTTTAAATCGAATCAAACATATTGATTATAGAACGCCAAAGATTAAGTGAAATGGAGGCTATGCGTCGAGTGGAAGAAGAGTTTCAACGAAAAAGGGAAAGAGAAAAAGCAGATATTCGACAACAGTTAAGGCTTTACACATTAACACAAGGTGATAGAGAACCAGCACAACCTCTTCCATCCAGTACTCAAATTCTTTCAGAATTTAGAGAGTCTAGACGTGACTATAAAGACTTCAATTCTTCCAGGTAAAAAATCATAAGCATCTGATTTTTAGTAATGTTTTTAAAAAAATAGAATTAATATATAATTTTTCAAAAACCAAAATACAATTTAAATTTATACATTTTAATTTTATAATTACATTATTTAATTTAAGACAAGACATAATATCTATCATGTTTTATTTAGCTTAAAAACTACTTTTTACTTACTAATCTATGCCTATTTTGACCACTGTGCTCCTTGTATATCTTCTCAAGTCACCCAATATTCAAGTAGTTTATTTTTACATTTTATTTGTTTTAATAGTAAGAAGTTAATAACATTGAATTTTCAAAAATAATTTAACTCTTACTAAAATAAGAGGTTATATTTGGGTAAAATTATTTCTTAATGAACATGTTATTATACTCATTAACAAATTAATCAATTGAAATATATAAATAATATAAATATATAAATACACTTTTAGAGTTGAACACGAACCCAGTAATCGTGCTGAAACTCCAGTTAAAAAGTCCACAACTATACATCCCAAAGTTGTGTACCAGATGCCCAAAAGTACTCCAGTGTATGTAACACCAAGTACTGTTCGTAAACAATGTAGTGGAATCGAAAAGATTGGTTCGTCTACACCAACAACTGGTAACTACAGAAGAGATTTTGCTCAAGGAGCTTTACCACATTCGGTTGCGAGTTCAGACTCTGAAGTTTCAGTGTCAAATACTCGACCAACTTCGCGTACAAAGCATAGAAGCAGGTAAATATAATATCTCAAACCAATGTAACCTAACATTGACTAAAAATCATAACTACCGGTTAACTGAATTTATACATAAACTGGAAACATTCTATTACTAAGTGAATTAGAAATGCATGATTACTTAATTCAAAATGTACTCTTATACTTAATTACACAAACAGTTAACAATAATTAACAAAAATAATAAGTATTTATACTAAAAAAAAAGTGATTATAGAGTGATATTAAAATTGAGTATTAATAAAAATCATAAAACCTATAATATATTATATAGATTTATATATATATATATATATATATATAGTTAGTAAAAATAATTTAAGTTAAAAAGTTGACTAAATTATTTATTTTTTAGTATTTGTTATAATAGTTTGCTTGATATTATAGTATATTAATTATTTGATTATTATAACTTCTTCACTCTTAAAAATACAATTCTGAAATATTGAAAAAATGATTGAAAAACTTACTAAATATGACTAATTTAAAATTTAACTATTTTCACACAAAATGAATACTTTCTAATTAATAGAATTTCAAATTATTTAAAGAACCTATTAAAGATTAATTTATACTTATAATACTATACTATATTAGCAACTCTTGACAAACAAAAACCATTAACTGGAACAAATTAGACAATACCTCTCACTTAACATTAATAAACTTAGTGTGTAATAACACAAATCATTACACTTCTAACTGTATAATGCTTTAATTAACAATTCTAACACAGGTTTTAACAAGTACGAAGCTCGGGATTAAGTGTATATTCTAGTCAACAAAATCAAGTCACCATTTCACCAATATAGGTTGGTAGTAAATGTTGCTTGATATGTTGTACAATAAAAGCTTATTTCGTTTTATGCATAGATCTGCCAGTCCAATATCTGATCGAGAAAAAGAAAACAATGGTATTGGATTAAATCTCGATTATGTGCATATCATCCAAAGTTTAAAGGAAAAACAAAATAACGAAAAGGTAAATCTATTAATAAATCTTTTATAAAATTGTATATTATTATGTATCTAATCTAATTAATTTTTACTAGACACTAAATGAAGTTACCAGTGAAATGATACCGGCTAGATCTATAGCCGGTGTGAACTCTTTACAACCATTTATAAAAAATAAAAATTCAATGTACAAACCTATTGTTTTCAATCCGATAAACAAAAACAAATTTGCTCAACCATTGATGTAGATTCAATTTTATTAATTTTAAATATTGATTATTATATATATTTTTTTTTTTATTATTATAATTTTTAATGAATTGTTTGTATTCCACTAAAATAAGTTACTCGACTAATATAATTAGTATTAATCAGCTAATATATATATATATATAGTAATTTTAGAAAATACATTTAAATATTTGATGAATTATATAACTTAAGTATACCTGATTATTATTTTTTCGCTATAAACATTATTTATAAATTTCAAGTTTTACATGTATGTTTCAATTATTGTTATCTTATTTTATTTAGTTTATAATACTGCAGCTTAATATAAACAAATCACATATTATATTATTGTTAAAAATATCACATTTTATTTCATTTATATGTTGTAGAATATAATATTCCATTTGGTTGCCATAATAAATGTGTTAAAAGTTAATAACATTGGCATTTAGTTTTTATCAGTATTTATTTTATATGCAATGTTTTTTATTCAGCATTCACTTGAAATATAAATGGTTATGTTACTGGCCATTAATGATTAGGAAAAGTTGAATAAATAATTCAGAATTTCACTACAATATAAATTTTATTCAGAAACAAATTTAAAGAAACTTAGTTTGATTTATAACAACATTAATTATACTTAATTTTTCTGAATTCAAAAATAGTTATCATTATTATTTTATGTTTATTTATTTTCTCTCACTTTTCCTAAAAATCTACCAAAAAAAATTAAAAAAAAAAAATGTCCAAGAAAAGTTCTTAATTAAAAAAAAAAAAATTAATATAAATAAATAAAATCAAATGGTTCTTCCACTACCAACCCATCAAATTAAATATGAGGTACTGTTGCTAAACGGGTTCTCTCCATCATGCTAATCAAGACATTTTATTATATTTTATTGTGTCATCTCATTAACTTATTATGTTTGTTTGTATAGATAATAAATTTATTTTATTTAATAAAATAATGTATTAATTCTGAAAGATAATACTTAATTAACTTACATATTTAATATGGTAAGTGTATTTAAAATTTTTTGATTATGATATTCTTATTCTTTAAAAACTAAATTTAGGTTATTTTATAAATTTTTTGCTCCATTTCATTTTGAATGATAATATAGTAAAGTAGAAAAATTTTAATGTGTATTTCACATAATTTTAATTATGAAATTCTAACAAGTATAATAAAAAAAATTATAATAGTTGATAATTGTGGTTGTTCTGTACACGTAACCTCAAAATAAATTTATAAGTATTTTTTTAATTTTGAATGTTATAATTAACTTCAAATGGAATAAAAATGAACAATTGATTGCAATTTTTTTTATTTACCCATTTCGGCATATTTTATAAATTCGAAGTCCAATTTTTATTTGCAATCTTTAGAACATTATTTAACCCTCTAAAATAATTTTCAAATTAAAAAAACATGAGGAAAAACTGCATTTTTCCCCTCTGCTCAGTTTTGTAAGTCAGGATCATTTTTTACGGGCACCTAGTAATATTTAAATTAATAACATGTAATTATAATACATAATAATTGAGTAAACCAAATTACACTTGAACTATCGTTATAAATTAAGCAATATTAATATCCTAGTTATTACTTATTAAGCAATATTTTGGTGTTTTTTTACGCTTACACATTTTAAATCATGAACAAAACTGTAAAAACCTAATACCTATAAATCTGCACTTACGAACACGGGCTCTGGATTGATAGGTTTAAAGCCCTCGGAAATTTGTTTTACGCCTACCACAATATAAATGCAATGCGTCAATTGTCCATCTAATGTGTGTATCGTATAATTCAAAATCATTAGGAATTAAAGTTTTCCCGATAATTTCTATTGATGCAAATAATATTTAACGAAAATTTATTACAAACGGCTATCCTAATAGAATCACGATTTTTCTATTGTTGTTTGTCGTTTGGTTTAACGAAAATTGTTACTTATTATAAATAAATATTACCGTAACACATATGTGTTTGTGCAAAGCATACAAAAACATGGATAAAAATCAAGGGCCCCAAGGACAAATTAATCTAGGCCCTTTTCACACGAGGTATTAAACTTGCCACTGACATCCAGTGTCTTCTTTTAAAGTGTGAATACCAAAGAGATAATGTAATCGCAGTTATGGTTATTCCACAGACTAAATGAAAATAGTTATTTATAGCCTATGGGTCTTTCTTGAAAATGTTATTTGTCTACGTTTTAGATCGATATTGTAGTGTTTTCACTTTATTGTCAACTTGTTACTATACAGCATACGCTATAATTATTTGGGTAAGTTATCAGCACGATTCATCCATAAATAGATCGACACCATAATCAAGACGTAGTGAACTTGGTCACACCCGGGCCTTTTTTGAAGCCCGGGCCCCTGGGCTACATCCCTAGCTATCCTCCCTTCTCGTCGGGCCTGTACAAAAATAATACAAGTATTTGTTTATCAAACTATTACTGTATCGAGATTTATAATTGTTTAGTTTTCATTATATGTGAACGGTGAACCATAAATGTATTATGATTAGAATGGATATAAAAACGGTTACTAAAATGTAAATACATTTTAATACGATTAACTGATATTTTAACACGTTCTGTGTTTTCAAAAAATAAAGTTTTATATAATATATATATTTATTTTTATAGTACCTATATATTTACCATTTTCGTAAAAGGTGGCCGGCAGGTACATATTTTCTAATAATACGTTTGCTTTGCACACAATGAAAAATATTTCTACATAAGTTATAGGTAAGCAATAGAAAATCAAGGTTTGAGGGATTTCGACACCGGTGTCTTTTTAAGTAAATTTTCACGAAAATTAATAAATATATATTTTCGTCCCATATAAAAAACGCGCAAGAAATCGATGTCTAATAGCGAAACAAAATCGTGTATCCTGTTTGATCTGTAAGATTTTATATCAACTCGTATTAATGCTTAAATAGAAAAAACATTATCTATTTCATGGGTTACGTTAAAAACTATTATTTTATAAATATTGAAAATAAAATTTTAGCCAAAAACATTCATATCAATCGCGCGATTTTCAAACGATTTTCATGGAATACCTCGTATTATGTTTTCTAACCTCTGTAGCATGAGCTTCCGTGTTCGCGTTTTTTTCCCGCCCTACAACACTAACCTTAAATTAAAACTGTCTGAACGATTTGATGGAAATAAACAAATGCAAAATACTATCTATTCTCATTGCGGTGATTTGGCGTTATAGAACATATCGTATTATAATATTATTTGCATACCGAGTATCATACAAACACCAATACGTGTGTACCGCGAAATTTAAATCTCACCGCATTATTCGTCTGATAGATTTATTATTACTTTCGATAGAATTTTTTCCTAATCTCATTGCGTATCTATCGTCCGAAATCGTTGAATATTATCCTATGCATGTTATACACGATACATACTACATGGCTTCATGGCTTATAGTATTGATAATTGCAATAGCTGGTTTAGTCAGAGGAAAAAAAACCTACTCGTTTAACTATTCACCACATCGTGTCGAACAGTTAAATAATTAATACGTACGAGATGAAATTGCTTTGTCCTTTTATGAGAACTTGTCTTGAATTACTCATGTAACATCCAGGCACACTTTCTTCTTGAAGATTAAAATTACAATTTAAAGAGTACATTACGCTGATCGCTTATTTTTTCATGAAGTTCGTTTTGAACTGAACACCGATATTAATCGTGCATTTAAAATACCTATTGGTGCACAATGTGGTGGTAGAATATGCAAGTACACACTATTATTTTGGTGTTTTATATTTTTACTGTAGGTAGATATATTTAAATATTGTACAGCAGATGGGTAGTGTTTATTGTCAACTTATTACGAATACTCACCGTATTGACAAAAACAATTTTATTTTCCACGGTAATTTATGAATGTAAATAATTTTACACATAATATGACATAAATAGCTGGTCGTAGGCCGTTAATTTTATTGAATAATCGCCGCATAATCGCCATCTGAGTACTATCATTCATCATCGGCCGTGGTGCCGTGTAGTTGCATCATACCAAGACACGCTATTGACCAATATTTACCATTTCAAGACGCTTATAGATTTATGTAATCTTGATCGAGGAGTGGAGAGCCTGTATGTATACACGTACCTAAATACGTGTCAAAAAGGAAAAATCAATCTATATAATATTCATAAATCTCTTTCTCGTCCACAATCATTATTCGTTGAATACATACTTAAATACCTTCCTTTTTAATTTGAGATTCACATTTTATATGAGTTATCATTAACATAGAAAACAGACGACGAAGCCGTTATGGATTATAAAAATAATAAATAACTCTGATTTTTTGTTAGCTGATTTTCAGTTATTGAACTATACGAAAACAAAAAGGTATTTATTATATGAGTAAATGTTTCATGCTTAGGTGGCTAAGAACGTGGATTAATTGATATTGGTGGTTCCGGAGAAGGTTCCATAGCTGAAAAAATGTTAAATTAACTAATCTAAAAAAAAACCGCGAAAATTATAGGTTTCTTTGTTATTTTTTGTTTTTTGCTGTTCTTGAATTCCGGACAACCCCCGAAGGTTCACGAAGAATTTCTCTCTATATAGGATAAAACACGTACACTTAATCCACTACCGGCAATACCACTTGAAATTCCTGAGCACGCCCGTTCTACGTACAACACCTTTCTATCTGCAACGGATCTAAGGGGAGGGGGGTTCAGGAGGTCAGCTGGTCAACAGTAAATATTTGTTAACAAAATTGGGATCTTCGAGACTTCTTATATTTTTTAGTGTGCTGAATATAGGTTGAAGTTAATACTAGACTGGGAAAAATGCCCCATTTGCTACCCTCCAAATGACTCCAATGATTCAATTGTACAATACAGTAAAACACATCTCTATGCCGGACCTCGTGTAAGACGGTATCCTTCATTAAATAAATGTTAATGTTTTCAAGAATTATGAATTAACTTTAAAAACTCATATTATATTGTGTTATTTTGTTACAAGTTATACATTTATAATCCAATTTCAGCCCTAATAAGTGGCCCCTTGAAATAGCCTAACCTACAGTTTTCTAACCGTGGAACCGCTCCTATATCCTAT